TGCTTACTTGGTATACGTTGATGAAACAATATAGACAAAATAATTGCAAGAAATTCTCAGAAAAATGCAACATCCAGAATGTTACTCAATTTATTTCTGAAAATAAGTCATTGGTTGACTTCTTTTATGTCAAAATAATAGTGTATTTTTTTGAAGCCGTGCCTGTTCCTTTAAAAGACTTGAAAGTATAATCGTTTGCCCGAATGTTTTAATAAAACTTTAAGTGCCGTTGAAGTCATTACCTTTTGGTTGATCATATATCGCTGTTTCACTTGGAAAGAGAATTTTTAAACATATGCCGATGACAAGGTGGGTCATCCGCTTTAGGCGCACTCACAAATATGCTAGCTAAGTGTTTTCATTGGATAGTTAGGACAAACTACTTTTTTCGAACTTCGTGTCATTAGAGATTACTTAGAAAAACTGATAGAAAACTGATTTCTCTCTTGATCAGCATAAATGAACAAAACTTTTAAAGTGCTGGAAGTACATTAGTGTCATCTGCACGCAGGAAATGTTTATCCGAAAGAACGACAGACAGAGCATAACAAAGGCCAATGGGCTATCAAATGAAGACGGGGGTAGTCAAAGTTTAATTGCATATTAATTTTCTGTGCTAATGCAACTGAACTCCAGTTGATCGAAAATGTTCATTCAACTAGAAAACCAGAGACATCAAACAGCAAATTGGTACACAACAATTTTCCTTAATTCAAATGAAAACGACTCTTAAAATAGACACTGAATATACGCAATATTGAAAAGAGTGACGGTTTTGTCGTTATTAATGCAACAGTGCACACGGTCGAGCCCTTAATCTTTCGGCTTTGGGCGGTTTAACAGCAGCTTGAATGTTTCCAATGTTCATAGTACATCTTTGGCACCGACTATGGCCACTGTTCAATTTGCACATGTGCCGAGCTTCAGCCCACTGATTTTGGATCACAAAGGAATTATGTATTCAATTCGTTTCGACACCTCGTTACCCTGATATTTGCATGCTCCTAAATAGCCGACTAGCTGCTTCCCTAATATTTTATATGGCTGGGCAGCTGTTATTTTACATCCTACACTAACAACCGTCTGGCAACAAGTTTCGGTTCATTTCTGATTTTTTTCTTTGGGTTGCTACTTGCCCTGTTCTCTTCCAGCCGAGTTATGGACCATGTACTCCGCAGCTAATAATCAAACAAAAACGCAGAAAGTTAATTATAAGCACGTTTTCAATCTAATCGGCCATGTAGCGGCCAATATCCCGTTGGGGCAGGTTTTGGCTCTTTCAGTGTCGTGTTTGTTGAAATCCTCGTGAAACGGGTTGTGATCTTGTATAGTGGTAACATCTGAGGTTCATGTGTTTCCAGGCTCTCAGGTAGAACTTAATCCAACTAATAGTAAAAAGCAAATGTGTCTTGATGTGTTTTTCATAACGCATGAGAAACTGGTTAAGATGCAGATTCTAGAAGGATTTTCCCCCTAATTGTCCTTTCAACAGGCGAAATAAACTGAGAAGTGAATTACACGGGACAAACAATTTAGTACGTTTTCCTCAGCGGAATCGCAATATGTGTACTCAACAATTTGGCCCTCGGGTCCTCCTGTATTTTATTGTGACATCTAGCATAGTAAAACTTTACCCATGGTCAGTAGTGGGATTTGTTCACTTATCAACATTCGCGGACGCGTTGGGACTGTTTTTCACTGCTGGGAAGGTTTTTCGCGGTTTATTTTTACCAAGACGCATTACTGCTTATGCAGCATTAACAACTCGAGAACGAAAATAACGTAAATGATGATACAAAGTAATTGCCTTAAATATTATCTCAAATTTAATTTGAACGGCACTGTACAGTATGTTTTGCATCACATTAGAAGAATAGTACAGAACAAAATAACTCCCAAGCACGAAACAAAGTAGTGAACCAATTGGAAAAAGTTTGGGACCGATTGGGAAGTCATCGTTTCAGAGAGGTTTGGTGAAAAATCGGTGGATTTATTGCTGGGTAACGTTCCGCTTTTGACACGAAAGCTTCATCAGGCCAAGTGAGTAAGCAAGTAGGTTGATTGGGTTTTAAGGCAGTTAGGGAACCAATTCGTGAGATTCCTTATGACTAGTAACTTGATCAGTGCTGGGTGTTCAGTCTGATGTTCTTGTTTGTTGGTTAGTAAAGATGAATAAGATTTACGGTAGATTGGTTAGGGAGGATTCGTCTTCATGATGAACCCGGATTTTTCGTCCGTTTTTTCAGTCTGGGACACCTTATTAGAAAATTCCTCTTGGAGTCATTCACAGATTTCGTTCACCTGTGTTCGTCAAAGGGTGCCGGGACAATTGGTTTGGGGATGGGGGTGGCGTGGGGTGGTTAGTTGGATCTAACTCTACTTGGATTTTGGAAATTTTAGACCCAGACTATTTCGCTGATGACTGTACACCGCCTGGCGTCATTTTGGCTGATCTAAGACCGCTCTCCACACGTTCTACATCCTCTATTCTATTCACACTAGGATGCCTGGCGATTACCACCATCTAGGCCACCAGTCGTTGTGGTGTGAATCTTGAGCCCCATCTCAGGGTGTCCATATTTTCTAAGTCTATTCTATGCCCAGTGTCAAGAGCACTCCCTGCCATTGCCGAATCTTTGACTAACGCCTGGTATTTTTCTGAGTTTCTCGGTGGTCTGTTAATGGAACTCTTATGCTCACCGATTCTGGTGTGCCATTCCCTGGCTGTCTGACCTATATAAACCTTCGAATGGTCGTTTATATAGGAGCTGTATACACAGCTCCTAGTCCTATAAACCGGAAGGCGATCCTTCGAATGCATCAACACCGAGCGTAAATTCTTCCCATTCTTGAATGCTACTTTAATGTTAGCCATATTCAGTACTTTTCTAATGACTTCAGATGTCTCTGTTTGGTATGGAATGACCGAATGGAATGAGCGAAACGTTGCCCCGCAATATATCCACCGATTGTTCACCAAAGCTCTCTGAAAGTACTGAACCCTTCAAGAAATAAAAGAATAATCAACCTAAGTTGAAATGCTTGCTGTATACTTAAAGCAAACTAGTCAACTTCCCATGGTACGCTGACCCTAGTGAAGCCAAAAAGCAGGTCACTCGACGTACGACTATTCATTTTGTCAGGTGAAAAGAGTTTTTGCGTCAGCCCAAGAAGATTATGTAGAATCAAGTTCACTCGACCTGAAATGGTCTGTAAAGGCTGGCACACCCCGGAGATATTCTTTCAGTCGCATTTTATTTCGAACACATCAGTTAAATTCCAGCTATCACAGCGATGTTCCTCATATTTCACCTGGTTTAAGTATTGGTTTACGCTTAATACTCTGTGCAAATATCCCAGTAGGTTTGTCCAACAACCTCGAAATCTTTATGATTGCACCACGCCGGGCAGATAGCAATTTACCACCCAGATTAATTAATGTATACGAAACAAAAGGGAGCACGTGCAGTTCAAAGTAGACTCCATTTCAAGGTTACCGTACAAGTAGTCAGTGAAACTGATTGGCGTTAGGAGAGAAAACTAACATCGGGAACAATTTGTTCCTTCAGGGTCCCGTCAACGTCCGAAGTATTCGGTAATTGTTTTCAGCGACCAGATTATGTTCACCATCAACGTATGCGCTTCTGTTGTGCAGTTATATTATTGCAACCGTTATATGCATCCGAATTATCACAATTTGCAGGGAAAGTCGCGCAATAGATAGTTCGATAGCAATGATTCCTCGATGGATTAAACAGTTTTCTGTCTACTTCACAATGTTTGGGCTCATTTTTGGGGTGAACATAACTTTTATTACATAAAGTTTGTGTTGTGTAATAGATGGACTAGTTTCTCCACAGGATAGTAAAAACTAATTAGATCATCGAACTTACTGTGGCGCCAAATTTCTGGTAGTTACTCCACATTGTACAACTCAAACAGCTATTTTCAGCAAATCCAAACTTGCCTTATTCTTAACGGACTTTCTTATCATCGTTGAGCTTTTTGTACTACACATAAACACATATGCAAGAGTGCTTGTTTAAGCGCCAATTTATTAACTCAGATCTTTCCGAGTTAATCAGCTGAGTAGTTATCGTTTCCCAAGTTGGTTATTCAATTCACAAAGTAGTCCTTCTTTCACAGTATTGACGACTCAACGAAAGCATATTTGCCGCAACCTACATCAGAAAGATTTAAACGTACTGACAAACTCGATTGCAGAGAGTTGGCATTACGAGGTCTCTATACTGTTGTAGTGGGTGCTAATCGCCTCATCCAGTGGACCAGAAGTACTGTTCAGCACTATGAATTGTGACAGCCTGAATTATGCAGGCTGAACTATCAGTTGACACCCCAGTTTTGCAATATGTTTGGTGACCGAGAATGAAAACTGTATGCTTCCGAAGGAGACCACATTGGTAGCAGACGAACCACATGTCAGCGTGCCCCTCGTAGTGGTTGTGTAGTTATTTTCACTATACCTAAGTGAGAGCTCTAGATGCACAATTTTAATGCCTACAGAATCTTCAAATTGGCCTACTAATCTCTAGGAGCAAGGGGACGACATAATCATCATGTTTATAGTAGTGTGTCCTATAAGTGTGCGTAAGATCGTGTAGCCAATTACTTTGAAACGTTACAAACTTATCTCATTCCCGGTCCTTCTGAACACTAAGTGTCATTAGCTTATGACTGAGGGGCGTTTTATCCTATTGTTGAGTTTAACGATGTAGCTTATCCGTGATGTTATCGTTTATGACTTATACGAACGTTGGTGGGAAAGTTATTTAGTTTTCTTAAACATCGCATACTGCTCTAATATCTGTGCAAAATGACACGGATATTCTGTGTTTTGTGCCCCACTGGTGTATCCTTTCTTCAAGATTGGCCCCACAGAAAATAGTTTCCGCGGCTCACCGGCCTGCTTATACACAACTCCAAAGTACATTTCCACCCCGACTATCTCCTTTTCTTTCTTTTGGTTCTATCCGATACAGGTTGTCAGTACTCGCAATATCCACGTTCATCTCAAAGTGATATAGTCTATACCCAAAATCTCAGTGACCCCCAGCCTGCTGGTTTTCGATCAACCATTTCACCCATTCATCATGTCCCTGGCCACTGTCAACCAACTCCCGCTCTCCGACCTCAGCCAGATGTGTTCACTAGTTCGTATATGTCTCAGACGGCGTACTCTTCCACTGTGCCTTTCTTCGGTACGGACGAAATGGAAACCTACACAACAGATGTGGGTGCGGAAAGTGAAATGAGATCATTAAGTAAGCGACTGTGCACGAAAGCACCCTGTGATACACCATCTCCTCCTAATGTGTGCGAAAGTTCGTCGCTAACACGCATTTTGGAGCTGATACCGCCGGTCGAATCAGCTTCGCAAGACACTTTACGTACATTTAGTCACGAAGTCTGTCCATCAGGCGCGCACACTTCGGTACAATTACCCGGTTTAGAACCACGGGCTGGAACGATAACCGAGATGTCGTCGGGCGTTTTGTCTCATCTACCGCAAGCGATAGCGCATAGTTCTCTTTCCTCTATGTCTTTGCCACTAGAATCACCCAGCACAACCTCAGAATTCGTTCACTTATCTAGTCGACGTTCGCTTCAAGAAACCACTCGATTTACCGGTTATTACAGCAGAAGAAATGTTCCGTTACCCGAAAACTTATCCCTTTGCACTAATCCCTTCTTATCACTTGATCAAGAATCGAATGAAGACAGAACCTTCGAGGAATTACAGTTTCCTGGACAGTTGTGTGATTCGGTGCCTCCAGGCTTTCCGGCAACCTCCAGTCGTTCCGTAAAACCACTATTACGCCCAAGCTTTCAGGTTTCATCGGCTGCCACAAATAGCCCACCACCAACCAGCACGTCCTCTGATCTCCCCGAAAGTGCTCTGCAAAGGAAGCGTTACCTGTGTACATTCTCGGGATGTGAGAAGCGCTTTACCAGACCGGATGAACTAAAGAGGCATTATCGCATACACACAGGTGATAGGCCGTTTGCGTGCAATTATTGTTCACGGGCCTTTGGACGATCCGATCACTTGCGCACCCACAAAAGATCGCATACGGGAGAACGTCCTTATGTGTGTGAACAATGTGGACGCAGATTTGCACGTTCAGATGAAAGGACGAGACACCGGAAAATTAGGGGCTGCGGAGTCCGCACAACTGGCGAGCATGTGACTCCAGATTCGACGGTTTCACAGATGGGAGGAAGCGCTGTAACAATGTCAGAAATCTCACGTCCACCGAGACGATCCAGTGTTCCGCTGACCCACACCAGCCAATTTGGAAGGACCGTCACTTTAAGTGGCATACGACCATTTAGCAATCCTGAAATTTTATCGTACCTCACGACTACCTCAAGTCTTTCCGACATCGTGCAGGTGTCACCTAGTACCAGCAGCTTCCATTGGGGACAGGGTGCTGTGATATCTCCCAGCGGTGGAGGCCTCCGTACAGTCCCACCGTCTCCCCTCAGTGCACCGGCAGCTGGATATGCTAGCACTGGTGAGATGGCATTTTTCCCGGAGTGTTTTCAGGGCAGCGAACCGACTCTTCAGCGGCAACAAACCAGTGACTCTGGAGTCCAGCCAAGCGAAGAAACGTCTCCAAGTAGCGGTAGTATGCATTTAAAGCCCGAACAAATGTGAATTCCAGATTTCATTTTTGAAAGTCCTTTATCCTCGTATCACCTTCCTAATATTTCGAACGTCTTCTTACTTTACATGTTGTCTGTATTTCAAACAGACCTCGTATTCGCGTGTTATTCACTTTGGTCTATTTTTTGAAACCATAAACTTTGCACGCGTTCGTCTATCTTCATCAGTGAACAAAGGAGAGACGATTAACTATTTTGATTCTCTTGCCCTAGATTCCGGATTGTTGTATCGGATTACGTTTTGAATAAGGAAATAATTGCTTTCAAAACTGTTGTGGGTTGCTTGAGCTTTCTTTGCATTAGTCCACGTCACTTTGTTAAAGCGGTTTTCTCTTTGTCAACCCACACCAAGGTGTAAAATTCTGGGCTCGAGTACGGCTATTATCACATCCCATCAGGGGTGTATATATTATGCAACTATAACAGTTGAGTAGATTAGGGGCAGGCGGGGTGCGCGTTTTGCTGTCACTAAGTATGATGAAAAAACCCTCTCAGTTCGTTAACCCACCTGTCCGCATTACCAATAAGGTAGCGTTACTAATTCCGAAAGCCTGCCGGACAACATAGTTTGGGCAATTTTAGTTACTTGCAGGATCATGGACTTTGTATCCACCTCACGTTCAGTTCTCCGTCTATCATTGTACGATTGTACTGGTGTGTTCTACTGATACTTAGCTGCGATTTTTTCTGGTTTTGCGGGATAGGTATTTTTGTTTATAGCCACACCCCTCTCGTTTGAACGGCCGTGTTCCTGAACTGGCGTAATTATTCCGGTGAGTTCACACCAAAGGGAAGCACTGGACTCGAGTTTCGCTCTTATAAGAGCTCATCGGCAGTGCATATCCAATGGCCGTTCCGGGATTTGAACTCCGGACATCTGACATGCGAGCGTCTAACCACTATTCCACCAGCGCGCGTTGGACGCATCTGAATTATGACGTCTGAACAGGCGAACGTGTTCACACTTGAGCGATATGACTGGTGTGCCCAACTCATCGAACGACGACCCAGTAACTGTCCTGGTTGCGACGACCGATTGACCCGCCAGTCAGGACTTCCCCGTCAGGTAGCGTGGCACACGCTTGAAACCCTCTGAGCAGATTTTTGGTTGCGTACTTAATTACTTACTTAACCGATTGTTGTACCATTTATGCTTCGCAGGTCAGTTGGTTCTAGTTCCGGATATACACTGTCAGGTGAATGGAAAAAGATGTCCAGTCGTGGCCAACGTGTCCCATTTTAGCGTGAAATATCCAAAATAATCAGGAAATACGAGTGAAAATACGAATCACACTCGCGTTTTATATTTTAGGTTCGCATGGTCGTTCGTTTGTAACTGACATCAGTTTGTGACACCAAATACTTGAACGGGCGTGTTTTTAGGCTAAACATCATAATATATGATAAAAGAAGTCGTGAAAAATACCATTGCGCTTGTGGCTTAAGTAAAGTAATTGTCAGTCGGGTTCCCACTCTTGACAGCTTATGAGATCAACTGAGTGCTCGCAAACTGTTATTCATATACTGGTAAATCCTAGTTGTGAAATTTTCACTGAAAGTCCATTGAGTTGGCACACAGGTAGCTATCTGAATTTGTAGACCAAACGGTTCGTGTCCAGTTCTTGTTCATCATTTGAAGAAAGGCAATAAGTGTGACAGCCAACTTGTGGCCTCCTTTTTTCAGAATCCCATTTTCTTAGGGACACAAGCGTATCTTCAATTTTTCAGTGAGATGTTGAAAACATGTAATAAGCTAAGTCTGGTGCACGTACATTCATTTAAACATACCGGCATCAATTAATGTCCCATGCACATTTTTAGCCATGAACCCAGACATGGACCCAAATTGCACGAAATTAGCGAAATTCACCCAATTCCCAACCAATTCCCTTTGACGGGAGGCTCACCTGGAATCCAGATAAATGTCTCGTTTGTGACATTTTCATGCCCGGGGACTGCGCCTACCTAATGAGCCCCGAGAAGGGAGACTCGGTCGTGGGATGTCGCAGAGTTTTCAGCAACCTTTTGAACGGTGTGAGACGTCTGTACATGTATCCCGCATATCTCATCAAGTGAAACATAAGGTGGCCTGGTGCAGCACAAATATGATAAACGAGAGATTTAGCTGTTTCAGGTGAGTCTCAAGACGAATACCAAATTGGCATTCATATGAGTATAATTCCCCTGTAAGTGCAATTTAATTACGACGGACCCAATTAGATATTCTTTATCTTGGTTGGGCATATTTAAAGTAAACGAGAAACATCCCTGCGGACGGACTAATAACACCGACCTCCCGTTTACGGTAAATGCGCTTCACCGACGGACCTATCAGTGACACTCCGTCCGTCATGCTCAAACGCCTAAACTTCACAGATGATTCGCATGCGTTTAAATCACCCTCTCCTTTGTGGCAAGTTACACAATAGCTCTTTGGAAATCATCACAGTCTCGACGTCCAGCACTTTGTGGAATTCACATAGGTGAATAAATACTGACACTGAACAGTTGAGCTGATCAGCCGTGGTGCATTAGCACACAGTGTAAACATCTTTGGTAGCCCAGCCGGCAGAGCAGCCATTCTTCAAGCCGAGGAGAAGGCACTGTTTCGGTTCAGTCACCAGCCATGTATTTCTGTTCACGTCCTATGTACGTGTACTTCTTATTTCACGATCTACTAACGCCCCTTCTACGTTTTGACAAATAAATAGATAACTTTGGTAGATGCATCTCTACCGTTTATAAGGTCATCTTCAATCAGTGGCACAAAATGGTTCCAGCGTTGGTAAGGTATAAGAATACGGTTTTGACAAACACTTTAAGTAGGCTTGGACGATCGCACATTGTGTTTAACGTGACTTATCATACAAGATCCATGAAACTCACGACCTCTGTCAGTATCCTTTTATGTGTCCAGAGCTCTAATTTTATTTGGATTGCGTTTTACTTTACTTCATGCAATGTACAGTACTGTTTGCAACAACATTGCAAACTACGGTTTTATCAAGGCCTTTAAAAAGATACGTCCCAAGAAAAATTATCTGTCAATTGCTAGAAAGTTGTCGAGCAAGGCAAAGCTGCCACATTCATCTATGCTGGCGACTATTTACCGCCATGGATTTTGCGAGCATTCTTTGGCGGATTTGTGATATTTGTTAGATAACGCTAAGTGTTTCGGCCGAGTTGCTTCAGCTACCGGTGTTAACCAGGTGGGAGGCGATAGTTCCTATCACTTGTTTAACGCATTGAATATTCCTTGTTTTTCTGTGTTTAGTAGCGTCTCGTTCATTCCATACAGTCCTCAGAACATATAGCCCTAGAGGAATGGTTAGCAAGTATTTTATTCCTCAGAGTCGTAATAACCAATTGGGGTCGAGCTTGGGCTGTGCTGTACTGTACGTTCGTCTTGAGCAGACAACCGAGAAGCAGGTCATAATTTTTTATATGGAATTTGTTAGATGCATGCGGACGTTTCGTGGTGAAATGTCGAGGAAATGTCGGCTGAAACGCCTCCGTGTGAATCGCTAGGCAAATCCTCTTATTTAGGCGTTTTCCAGATAACTTAGAGTTCAGAATTCAATTTGTCTTCTAAATCACTCGGGTTTGTATGCTAGACAACCTGTGGTCTTCCTTTTGTGCTTTGTTCTCATATTATAGAAAAGATCGAACGCTGAGGTCATGTGTGCTTAACACTTGAATTTCAGGCGAAAAATGGATTCTGTTCATTCATCTACTCAACAATTACAGGATAATCCTTTTGGATTTGTATAAGAACTACTGCCCAATTATTCCAAGAAATTTTTTGATTGTCTATGCCGGTCCCTTTTGGAATACTGAACAACAATGCGGAAGCAACCTTTGTATCATGATATTGAAGTTCTTTCGGCCTCATCTGTCAAACAGGACATTCTTTCTCTGAGCCACACTAAAGTCTGGCCGGGTGCACTGAAAAACGTCACAAGGGGTGAGTGTATGTGACTAGGTAATAACTCATGAAATATGTGTTGATTTGTTGAATATATATATATATATATATATATATATATATATATAATGTATGTGCTGCGCCTCAAATCCCGACTTCAGGCGCAGTGTGGAAAGAAAGGAATCGACGTCACATACGGCACCCAAATAAATCGTCACTGAAGACCATCTATCTCTCGGACACCGTTTTGGGTATTACATTTTCCCAAAGCACGTCAGATTGGCAGTGGAAGACGTTGACGATACTGCGGAATATAGGCAACTAGTGTGTACTCTTGAATCTCGATATGCTGACAAGCTTCGTTATCGTCATCAGACATCGTCAGGCTTCCTCGCTAACCCTCATTGACCATGTCTCGACCATCGCCCTTGAAGCATCTGCAATACAACTGTCATGCTCAGTTGACAAACCGAAAACCATGGAAGAATTTGTAATTTACTTTGAGGTCATTATATTGAAGAGGGAAAATATGTGAATGACGATGAAGAGCACATCATTTAGGCAGCTTTAAATGTCAACGTGTGAATTTGTACGCGATAGACACTCCGCGTCTACTTAATGGTAGTCGTTCTTGTGCTATCGTATGTACGTTCGGCTGGTCCCATCTACCACTAGTGCGTGGAATGACCAATGGCGAACGCGCCACGTCGACATCATTCTACTATACATAGCATGGCAACTCCTCATTGACGGTCACGTAAGACAATAACGATAAATAATCACATGATCAGCGTGGGTGCGCTTACCACTCCTTGGAATTATTCCCTTTCCCTTTCTCACATGCAACTACATGTTAGTTTGTGCGTGGGAGTGTCCGACTTTTGTATGTAGGTGTGACAGTTGTCGATATGCACACGTAAACCAGTTGTAACAGGATTCAAGGGATTACCAAATATGCCCACTTATGGCAACTCCAAACAGGTTAGACCGAGCGTGGTTTTCTGGTTGACATATGGTGTCGAGCGTCAACTGGACCACCAGACCTTCTCACAAGGCGACCCAGCTTCCCTTTTTCTTCTAATATCAACACCTATCGAAATAAAAATTAAGTAAATTTTCGTCAAACAATCTGTTGACTCATTCAGACTGTGTGGCCAACTATGTAATAATGTTAATTATCTGAATAGCCATCGAACTCAGCAACAGAGCCTATTGACATCAAAATATGGGTCAGAATCTTACTGGTTTTTGCTACTAAACATGGGGCACGATGTCTGAAAGGCTTGAACACACGAATCACTCGGTCCCTGTTCAGAGAAATTCGCA